AGCCGAGGGACCGTACGGACCACAACAGGGCGCCGTCTGATACACAGGGACCGTGACAACGGACACGAGCCGAGGGACCGTACGGACCACAACAGAGCGCCATCTGATAGAGGGCTGGGAGGCAGTCACCATCCACAGTGACTGTAACAAGACACCTAAGCGCACAGCGGCCACGGGGGCAACCACGGACCTGAGCACACAGCAATGGGGGATGACCGTGGATCTGCGTCCATGGCTGTGAGGATGACGATGCACCTGAGCGCACGATTGTGGGGCTGGTGCAGGACGCGGCAGTTCTCCGTTCTGTTGTCCATGAGTCAGGCTGACTGACACCAGCTCCCACCAACAAGAGATTGTAACCCAAAGAATAAAGTCAACGTCAGTAAGTCCACACTGCTACAAGCAAGTGACCTAAAGAATAAATTAATGGGGAGACTCATCCCCCTTACAGAGAACTCCAGTCAGTGCTCATGGACGGGAGGAGGCACAGTCAAGGGCGTCACAGGACCGTGGTCCTCAGGGCCACAGGCCAGGGCCATGCCTGAAGGCTCAAGGAGTTGGCAAAACTTGAAGGAGAAACAGGAATGTGCATGGCTTCAGAGAGATTCCCTCAGACACTTATGATCAACTGTGGGGGTCTGAGCATACGTGCACACGTGGACACGTTCCCAAGTGCCATGACTCAGCTGCATGGCTAACTCGGTTCTAAGACAGAGGACAGGAATGGGGGAGTGGGGAACATGGCGGCCTCCATCCTGCCACAGAATCAAAGTCAATGTCACCTGTGCAGAGAGGCAATGACGTCACATACCCCTACCTGATGTGACGAGAAGGGCACTCTGATGTTCTTCCCCCAAATGCATCATATCAGCCCACTCCGGAGAACACGTCAAGACAGACCCACGCTCAGGACAGTCACAAAACACCTAAGCATACACTTCTGATGTGTCAGAATCGTGAAACATAAGCCCAAGGTACTGGCAGAGACCAAGGAGGCAGATCATGGGTGGCATCTTGGAAAAGAAAAGGGACAAGAAGAGCAAACTGGGGAAAATCCAAATGACGTCGCCAGTGTCATTAGTGCAAACGGTCATCAGCTGCTAATGGAGCAGCTGGCAGTCTGAGCCCACCCGGAGACACCTCGGAAGGCAGGCCTGGCCACCTCGTGCCACCAAGTAAGCCAGTGAGAACCGTGTGGGGCACAGCTCTGCTCTAACTCACAGGGTCACCCCCAGTTGGTGTCGATGCAGAGTGACTCAAGTTTCGTTTCTAATTTTATTTAGGAAGGTTCTACTCATGTTCACGTCTTAGTTTTAACAAATGTACTATGGTGTCTCAGATGTCAGCATGAGGCATTCCCTGCACTCTTTGCAACTTCAAAACAAAACAATTGACGACCACGAGAGGGCCAGGATCCTTCTGGGACCCATGGTGAGGGCCAACCACGATCTCCCCTGGAGCCCCAAGGAGGCCTGGCTCACAGCAGAGCTGCAAGCTGCTCAGTGGACAGGAGGCCTGGGGGTGGAGGTGACGTGCGCCCCCGTCTCTGGTCCCCGGAAGCACCAGAGGGCAGACTCTCTGGAGGTGAGCTGGGTTTCCTTCCAAAGCAAGCACCCTGCTGGCACCTGGAGGCATCTACTCCCTGCCAAAGAGGCCAAATGCAAACTGGCACCGTGCACAGACTACTGCCAGCCCACGAGAGCCTCGGTTTGGACTGAAGTGCTTTCTAAAAACTCTGATTTCGTTGCCAGCACTAAAAAGCAGAAGCCAAATTTAAAGATTATCCTGAAAAATGAGGCCATGTAGCAATACTCCTTGGAGACCATAAGCTAGGTCCTAAGACCTGGGTGTCCCTTTAAAATGGACTACGTTTGCCACAGTCTCCACTACCCCTTAATGCCTCACTCCAGCCCTCCCCACTCATTTGGTGTGTCTTCCCTTCCAGGGCAGGTATCTGAATTTGTAACCCCCTAGATGCCCATTTTAACTGCTAACCAGAAGGCTGACAGTTCAAACCCACCAGCTACTCCTTGGAAGGAAGACTGGACAATCCACTTCCATAGAGATACCACCACGGAAACCCAAGGAGGGGTCGCTGTGAGTCAGAACCAACTCGATGGCAGTGAGTCTGGTTTTTGGTTTTGGAGATGCCAGTTTAAGGAGCTCTAGTGGTATACAAGTTAAAAGCATTTGGCTGCTAACCAAAAGGTCAGTGGTTCAAACTCACCAGCTACTCTGCATGTGGTAGTTATGTTTGTGTGTCAACTTGGCTGGGCCTGGATGAGTGGCTGGGCAGCTGGTGGTAGTT